TGATGCCACTCAGAAGTTCCTTAGCCACAGCATCTGGCGTTATACAGATGCGGTGGAAGACTGGAAGCCTCTGCAGAATTCGGCCCACTCCGTATGCCAATCACTTGAGGACGAGAAGACCACATACAGCACCATCTATCTCGGCGCCGTCTTTAAGCTCATGGAGGGAGATAAGCTGTCGACCAAAACCAGCTATGTGGCCGACGTCGAGGAAGACTATCCCAAAACATTCTTTGGAGTGTTTGCCTTGTGATTTATTAGCCACATGAGTTGTGTGGCACGGTATGAAGACAAGTGTTTTACGTTAAAACTTACAAAGTATGTTCTCAGGGCATTTGCTTTAAAGTAGTTTGTCTAATGCTGAGTGCTTATTGCATCGTGACATAATATTTTGGTTCTAAAACACACCAGATGCAGTGAGAGCCACACGCTGAATACTATGTATTTAGGCATGAGCACTATACCAAGGGCACTACAACTAGTATACTTATTTTAAGCTAATATGATGTTTATTACCTTACGTATTTCGTTGTAGAAATAAGAAATGTTGATGTTCGAAAGAACAATGTTTTTTGTGGTATAGAGATTTATTTATAACTTTTGAGCGTATTTAATGTTTTTTATTTTATATGTCCTATTTATTTATTAATGATTGTATATGCTATTATTTGGAAAATGAATGTACTGAAATTGTTTTTGACACTCATCCTGTGATTCTGACATTTTAACGGTGAATAAACCTGAAGTATCACTGTAATGCACTAGTCTCATTCCTATCAGCACTCAAAATAGAACAAGCAGTTTGTGACAGGTCATATGAACACAATGGGGGATTTTTGCATTCCTGTATGTGACCCGTGGTTCTTTATCCTCCTAAAGTCTGACTTCCTTTTATTTGTCAGAAATGAGGTCACTGCTTGTTTCTCATGAACGTTCGCTGCTTTCTCCCAGGTGTGATTCGAACAAAAGCCCAGAGCATTGAATTAACAGGATTGCATCACTCCATTGGTTACACTTGTGAAGGGTGGTGATCTCACAATTTAGTGCAACAATGTAACTGAATTCCAGGGGGTGCTTTGATCTAAAAGAACCCTTACTGGACAGACTCCCAACATTTTTGTCAGAATCGCCAGAAACTATTTTTTTTTTAACAAAAATTAAACAGGTTAGATTCCCTTACAGCTAAAATGTGTAGTCTTGTATTTGTGTGAAAGATCATCAGATTGAGGGTTTAGTAGACTATAGGGATCGACATAACCACAATATTCCATTGAATAGCAAATTCTAAAATTCTAAAAACCCATCAGTGCAAGAAAGCAGCATTTAAATGAGGTGCCCCATGTTTATGAGCTTCTTTGAATAAATTGCATGCATTTCTAATTCTTCTAACATACAGTATGCAGTGTTTAAATGTTTTACAAAACCTACAGTTTTTTTAAAAACGTATAAAATACAAAAATAATATTTTGTACTATTATATTGTACTTATATTTTATACCTGTATATAAATAAAATGAATAAAAATAAATATAAGCACCATATATATATTCACATATTTTTGTAAGATATATACAGTATAACATAATATAAACACAAAATTTTTTAAATATATATTGTATTTACTGTGTGTGTATATATTATACACACAAACACACAGTAAGTACAATATATATTTACCAAATATTTTTTGTATATATATATTAGAATTATGAATATAAGTACAATACATTTTTACCAAATATTTTTGTATTTATATTATTTTGTCTTGAGACTTTTACTCCATCATGAACAATCCCACCTGCACTCTCAGTGCAAAATAATGAGTTTATTGAATGTTGACATCCAGAAAGTTTGCATATTTAGAGAAACTTTCTAAAGCTTAACATACATAGAGTTTTTGTCAGTTGAAAAATTACAAGGGAATTAATTACATTACTTTTATACTTTGAAGTATCAAAAAAAAATTCCTTGTGGTACAGTGCACACACCTGACAATTAAACAGTTTTAAGGAAAATCCATAACTGCTGCAACCACAGAGCCTGTAGAGAAATAAATGCCTCAGAATAAGAACCCTCTCATGTACGTCAGTGGTGACTCCACTCAGATGTTTACAAAGAACCCCTCCCATCCATTCAAAAGGCACTGTTTCAGTAATTACAGATTGTACCTTTACCGTGTGTCAAGTGTTACAGTATAGTCACACACCCTGAGCTATATTACTAGAATGTTGATATATAGAGGGAAACCGATGTGCTGTACTATGCCTAGCTGTCCAGTCACCAACTGTGAATCACTGCTTGTTATATGTTAGTTAGTTTACACATGAGTACTTATCATACAAGAATGAAACATGCAACAATGCACAACTAAAAATCTCCAATTATTGTATTATTTTGTAAACAAGTATTAAGTGATTGTCTTACCATAGGAAATAAATATTATAACAATGTAATATTGCAATAATTCAAAATGTACATAGAGATTGTCCACTGGTAAAAAAGTTTAAGCATTGACGCCACTTGTAATAACAATTTTTAAAAAATACAAGAGGAGTGAGTCAATAAAATTGTATAGATCCTAGTCATGGTTATAGTTTCTACGATTTCTGCCACTCAGTTTTTGTCAGTTGAAAAATTACAAGGGAATTAATTACATTACTTTTATACTTTGAAGTATCAAAAAAAAATTCCTTGTGGTACAGTGCACACACCTGACAATTAAACAGTTTTAAGGAAAATCCATAACTGCTGCAACCACAGAGCCTGTAGAGAAATAAATGCCTCAGAATAAGAACCCTCTCATGTACGTCAGTGGTGACTCCACTCAGATGTTTACAAAGAACCCCTCCCATCCATTCAAAAGGCACTGTTTCAGTAATTACAGATTGTACCTTTACCGTGTGTCAAGTGTTACAGTATAGTCACACACCCTGAGCTATATTACTAGAATGTTGATATATAGAGGGAAACCGATGTGCTGTACTATGCCTAGCTGTCCAGTCACCAACTGTGAATCACTGCTTGTTATATGTTAGTTAGTTTACACATGAGTACTTATCATACAAGAATGAAACATGCAACAATGCACAACTTAAATTAAAAATCTCCAAATATTGTATTATTGTGTAAACAAGTATTAAGTGATTGTCTTACCATAAGAAATAAATGTTATACCACTGTAATATTGCAATAATTCTAAATATACATAGAGAATGTCCACAGGTACAAAAGTTTAAGCATTGACTCTACTTGTTATAATAATAAAAAAAAATACAAGAGAGAGAGAGTCAATACAATTTTATAGATCTAGTTTTATGGTTATAGTTTCTATGATTTCTGCCACTATGACAGTGTTTATGAGGTGATATATAATTGGGAAAGTCTCCAAGCATAACATATCATAAATATAATTTTACAAAAAGAGTGGTATCATCCTTACAACACATATGAACAACTGTGAAGACTAACCACATAGAGTTTTTGTCAGTTGAAAAATTACAAGGGAATTAATTACATTACTTTTATACTTTGAAGTATCAAAAAAAATTCCTTGTGGTACAGTGCACACACCTGACAATTAAACAGTTTTAAGGAAAATCCATAACTGCTGCAACCACAGAGCCTGTAGAGAAATAAATGCCTCAGAATAAGAACCCTCTCATGTACGTCAGTGGTGACTCCACTCAGATGTTTACAAAGAACCCCTCCCATCCATTCAAAAGGCACTGTTTCAGTAATTACAGATTGTACCTTTACCGTGTGTCAAGTGTTACAGTATAGTCACACACCCTGAGCTATATTACTAGAATGTTGATATATAGAGGGAAACCGATGTGCTGTACTATGCCTAGCTGTCCAGTCACCAACTGTGAATCACTGCTTGTTATATGTTAGTTAGTTTACACATGAGTACTTATCATACAAGAATGAAACATGCAACAATGCACAACTTAAATTAAAAATCTCCAAATATTGTATTATTGTGTAAACAAGTATTAAGTGATTGTCTTACCATAAGAAATAAATGTTATACCACTGTAATATTGCAATAATTCTAAATATACATAGAGAATGTCCACAGGTACAAAAGTTTAAGCATTGACTCTACTTGTTATAATAATAAAAAAAAATACAAGAGAGAGAGAGTCAATACAATTTTATAGATCTAGTTTTATGGTTATAGTTTCTATGATTATAACAATGTAATATTGCAATAATTCAAAATGTACATAGAGATTGTCCACTGGTAAAAAAGTTTAAGCATTGACGCCACTTGTAATAACAATTTTTAAAAAATACAAGAGGAGTGAGTCAATAAAATTGTATAGATCCTAGTCATGGTTATAGTTTCTATGATTTCTGCCACTATGACAGTGTTTATGAGGTGATATATAATTGGGAAAGTCTCCAAGCATAACATATCATAAATATAATTTTACAAAAAGAGTGGTATCATCCTTACAACACATATGAACAACTGTGAAGACTAACCATTTGTTTACTGCTACTTGAAAGAGGCACAAAATTATTTTTTTTTAACCATAAAAAATTAAACTAATTAACTTGAAATAAATAAATAAATATATAAATAAAAATATTGCACAGACCAAGTACTGGTCTTGAATTTGGGGGAAGAAATGTATAATCTGAGAAAGACAATTGTAAAGAGCACTCATTTGTCTACTGTTTGTTATTTGTTAAAGGCATAACATTATTCAATATCAATATATGATAAAAATGTAAATAAATTTAGAGATATTTATAATAATAAATTATGATGGCTGGATGAATAGATAGATATTGCACAGACCAAGTAATGGTCTTGAATTTGGCAAAAGAAATCTATAATTTGGACAGAGTGCTCACCAAAAAAACAAAAAAAAAACATAAAATAAACATTCAATCTTACAATGCTGTATAATGTGAGATGTGTTTGTTTGATTTGGCCCAAAAGTGCAAAAGCTACAGAAGCTGTTTAGAGGCCTGTGCTTGTTTTTTTTACTCAAACTGTGACGTAACACAAATCACAAACATCACAGATGATTTGACAAACAAATAAGCCATAAGCGATGATCTCATGAAAACTATGCTAATAAGAGGGATGCTAATACAGTCCAAACTAAAACAGACTCTTCTTTCATTCTTTCCCATTTCACTCCACTTCACTTCTAATACTACGGTTGTAAAAAACAGTCAGAGAGAGTGAGACAAGGACAGAACAGCCATTAAAGCACCCTGGCACACGGCCGTAGAGATTAAAGGAGAGAAAGCATACGAGGAAAATAAGAGTATCGACCAGACTCAGGTCAAACACCTTTAGGAGTAAGTAAATCACAGGTTCAGCTAAAACCTTGTCTCATTTCCTTTGTGAACTGGATGAGAGAGAGAGAGAACGATTCATCTGATACCGTCTGTTGGTGCATTGCAAGGTCTGTCTCGTTAAAGTGACAGTCTCGTCAAATACTAAGCGAAGCACAGAGACACGCTCTTCTTCCTTCGCTGTCACTCAACAAAATAATTCAAAGAAATGTTCGACCGGGTCTGGCTCCAGCACCCACACAATCCTTCCTTAACACCCCTGTCCTAGTGTTTAAAAGACGCTTTATCCGAAGGGATTTACGGAGGTCCAATTGCAAAAACAGTCAGTTCCCCTTGAAGAACTCCGATTTAAGTCAAGGGCAAGGGCACAATAACGGCAGAGCACAAACCTGATTTAAGTAACTCAGCTCGTCTTCACTCCTGCTTCAACCAGAATCTCTATAGCATTCGGACAGCAGTTTGGCCTTGCTCCTAAAGGAATATTACAGATTCAGTACAAGTTAAGCTCAATTGACAATGTTCATTAGCTAAATTGATTCCCATTTGTCCCTCTTTTTCTTCAAAAAAAAATGTGGCTTACATGAGACATTTACAATGGAAGTGATTGGGGCCAAACTGTTTAAAGTTGCAATGAAACAGATGTAGCAACAGATCTTTTCCCTGCGTATTGTCAAGTACATCCGAGAGCAATGGATTATCGAAATGGATTATCTTGGTTCTATGAAGTGGTTGCTGATTGGTTAGACTGATTGGAGAAGTCCTGCATACGTCATCACAGAAAAGTCTGTCGTTTTCACTAGAAGATCTAGTTAGACATTTTGCCTAAACATTATGAGGTCAAAATGTAAACCGATGAATTGTTCACAATAACATGCATTTTAGAACATAGATAAGGTGAATTTTTAATTCATGTTGACCTTAAATACTCACTGTTTCAAAAGTAAAGTCATATGATATAAACAGTATGCATGTTTACATGATTTAGTGTCTTAAATTGTTTACTAACCTTTTCTGTGTATAATTATATTGAATTGTACAACTGTCGCAATGACAAAGAAACACCATAAACCCTAAAACGACTGTAAACATGATGATTTAAACAACTTTACAGCTCAAATAATACACGTTTTCACAGAATAATTAATGTGTTAAGTATAATTACAAGCTTGACATTTCTGCTTTAAATCCTCCAAAAAGTGACCCCAATTACTTCTATTGTAAATGCCTCAACATATCCTCCATTTTTTTTTTTTTTAGAAAATCAAGGACAAGTCAATGTATTTTTTTGTGCTATTCAGCATTATACCACACATGCTGTCAATTGAGCTTAGTTGGTACTGAATCCAGAACATTCCTTCAAAAAAATGTTTGATTAATGGACAAGGACTGTGGAGTTATTTCCTGACATCATTGGTCTCTGTTGGCTGAAAGTACCGCACTTGTTGAATGTGCAACACAAATTTTCTTTGCTTATACACTACCATTCAAACTGTTCACAGTTTAGGGTCAGTAAGAAATAAATTAATACACTTATTCAACAAGGACGCATAAATTGATCAAAAGTGACAGACATTTTCAACATTGATAATAGAAAGAAATGTTTCTTGACCACCAAAAATCAGCATATTAGAATGATTTCTGAAGGATCATGTGACACTGAAGACTGGAGTAATGATGCTGTAAATTCAGCTTTGCATCACAGGAATCAATCATATTAAAATAGAAAACGGTTTTAAATTGTAATAATATTTCACAAATTTACTGTATTTTCCGATCAATTAAATCTAGCCTTGACATTTAAAAAATCTTACTGACCCTAACCTTTGAATTGAAATGTAGTAGCAGAATCTGGATTCATATCAATACAGTTTAAAATAATGTGTTTTTATAACTAAGATAGGGAGTTATCAAAAGTGAATGTCAGGAATCCAAAAGCTGAATCAAAAACTCATCGGCCTCAAATTAAAGTACATATACAACTTTACATTGCCTTCTTGAGATTCCACCATCCCGGACTCATTTGTACAGCAGGGGTAGACGGCTGTTGTGGCAGTTGTTTCGGCTCAGTTTGCCCTCGCCCTGGTACAGGTTGGAAGAATTGGAGAAGGACGCAGGCAGGGACGGTTTGTCTGATGCGGGGGAGTAGCTGGGGGGCTCAGCCTGAGACGACGGGACGCTGTGGTTCTGGTTCTGATTCTGGACGGACAGGCGTCTGCGAGAACGCAAGGCCTGACGTTCTGCAAGCTGATTCCGCAGCTCCGTCACTCTTTCTTCCTTCTGCACACACAAAAAAAAACCAGTAGTATTAATTTTTGAAATTCTGCTAAACTTCTCCATTTTTGGGTGAACTATTCTTTCAACATTTCCTTTAACATGTATATTTCCTGTGATGGCCCAAGATACGGCCACACATCGCTGAGTGGTAATGTGCTTTCACACACCCACATACACCAACATTTATCTTTTTCTTATATGTGACCCTGGACCACAAAACCAGTCGTAAGGGTCAATTTTTTTAAATTGAGATTTATACAACTATTTGAAAATCTGGAATCTGAGGGTACAAAAAAATCTAAATGCTAAGAAAATCGCCTTTAAAGTTGTCCAAATGAAGTCTTTGCAATGCATATTACTAACCAAAAGTTAAGTTTTTATATATTTATGGTAGGAAATTTACAAAATATCTTTATGGAATATGATCTTTACTTAATGCCCTAATGATTTTTGGCATAAAAGAAAAAGCAATAATTTTGACCCATACAATGTATTTTTGGCTATTGCTACAAATATACCCCCAGCGACTTAAGACTGGTTTTGTGGTCCAGGGTCACATATA